AAGTACGACCGTATTTCAATTAAATAAAGTACATTTTTGTAGCGGACTAATGTACACATATGGATCTCTAATATAGTTTGTTAATATCCATGACTTTTATGCTACCATGGAAAAATGTACAAACGTTTGTTGCACACATACATATGTAAAACAGAATACATTTTAAAACACACCGTTTAACAGTTAACCCCAGGCAGTGTTGCCTAACAATGTATAGAACAAAAGATCACAGGTGTAAGTCCCGGGAAAACAAATCAATTTGTCCGTGAATAAAATAAACTACTCAAACGGACATATAAATGTGTCTTCTCGTGCCTCCCAGGGGAAACGGGGTTTTCCTAATTTTATCTTCATGTTAAATGTTATTCAACTCAAATTAAGTATGGGGATGGTAATAACATAGATAATGATTGTGTGTGTTTTTTTTTTATATTTTAAATTATTATAATAATATAAAAACACAAAGTCACGTAAAAAGGTTTAAAACGATAAATAAATAAATCCATCAACACTAGGACTCGAACCGGCGACCAGTAACGTTAAAGCGTTCCGCGTATCGTCAACCTTTTCAATCTGTCTATAGTATTTATTTTTACAGAGGTTTATTATCTCAATACAGAATATTGGAAAAAAATAGGGAATGATGAAGATATTGGTCTGAATTCTAACTTTGATTTTTTAATGTGATTATAAAAGTAATCCAGACTTGTGACATATAGAAATATACGAATATAGATGGTTCGTAATTTTTGTCTTAAAAAATTATAGCCTTCACCTCAAATATGACATAAATAACATATATTTAGTTTTTCATACATGTAAAAATGTAAGTTGATAGAATAATTCTGTTTGTAATATAACCAATTTTTTAATAAACTACCACGCTACGTTAAAAGAGATAATGCCTCCATATTACTTTGTTATACATAATTACACCGAATCGGTAGCCTCCTATATGTAGAACCTGATAATACTCCATAATCCCCATATTTCACAATGAATTTATGGTCGCGCTAAACACGCCCCGTAAATTATCTGTAACAAGCTTACGACAGAATGCGCGCTTAAAAAAGCCTTTCATTTATAACGTATGGGGAGCCAATATTTGCGCGGCTCGTTTTCATCCAATTTTGTCATTTGTCTTATCGAAAACAAGATCGAAGCGATCCATAAAAACAACGCTAAACAAAGGAGGTTTCATATGCAAAGGTCCTATTGTGCCAGTAACACGTGACAGTGTTGTCATATCACTAATATTTTTTCTGTTCAATTCTTACTGTCCATGCGTATTATTATTCGGTTCCTTCTGCTTTCTTTGAATGGACCGTGGAACTATGAATCTCTTACAAAGGCATAATAAAGGAGCGTACAAGAAATACCTTCGTATTCTATACGTATTTCGGATGTAAAACAAACTGACAGCGAATGTAAATACCATTGTTGAGTGTTGTCACATTAAAAATGATGATTTGTAACAGATATTTAGAGTTCTTTGTGGATGGAATAAATTGTCCCTACTGGTATTGAGTTTTGATCAGAATGTAGGTTGTTGGTTATTAACATACAACACTAAAAACATACTGTATTGATTGATTTTAGCTACTAGTGGACCTGGCAAAAGTTTTTATGCCATATGAATCACTTCGATGGAACTTTTTTACCACAAGAACGGTTCTTCTGTCTTAATTTTAGAAGATAGAAAGAAACCAGTTCAGTTTCGCAGCACACGCAATGGAAACCCTCAAAGATGAACAATTTTATCCGTTTCCACATTACCCTCTGTTTCTCCGCTCCTATTGGCCATTTAATAGCCTTCCTCGATAAATGGTCCAACCAACACAAAAATAATTTTTCAATTCGAAGCAGTAGGTTCTTGAGATTAACAAGTTATAACAAACAAACAGTTTTATAATATTAGTATAGATCGCTATCTATACCATGTCATCTTTTCTTGTTGTAGAACATTTTTTTGGTACAATAAAGTCCTGAAGACAAACAGAATACTTTGGTATATAATATTAGTGAATAAATAAATTGCGTTTCAAAAAAACATCGCTAAACCGTACAAAAGAGCTTTCTGCTTCTGAAATCCACTTCATGTCTCGCAGTGTCACATGTTGGCAACATCGAGGGCCCTCAAAAATGGCGCGTAAACTGACAGCTCGTATTTTGGGGTTATTAACATAATAATTTGGTCTTTATTGTTACGTGTTAAGTGTTATTATGTTAGGCGATATTGCTTTATTGCGTCGGTAACGGCCGTGTTATAGAACATTCTGTATAATCTATGGATTTTTGGCTCTTTAACGGGATTATTTTGTGACGTTAATCTGTGTGCAAGCACTGACAATAGATGTCAAGAATAATAATTTAATAATTCTGGCGTTTTATACTTTGTAAAAAAAGAATAGTAATTTTAAAGCGAAATTTTCTCGAAAGTTTTACTTCTTAGATTAAATTAACATATATTACATACTTTTACAGCCATTTCTTTATATAAAAGATAATTGAATTTACATTATTACCACAGTTCTTAATAAAATAGTGCTTAAATTGTGTTACAAAAATATATTTTTTTATGTCCTAAATTTAATCGAAACGTTAGATTTGAAAATTAATAATTAGTAGTAAGTAATGACAGATTGTTACGACCCCATACCCCACGGGGAGAAACGGTATTTCCCTTTTACATTTTTGTGTTACAGTTTAGCAAATTATTTTTCTTACGCTGATACTTCGATTCCTGTTTTTTTTCACTTTGTACCTAAATGAGATTTTTTCGTTAATAAGGCCTCGTTCTTTTTTAAACCAATTGTATCCATTAAAGGAAGTCAAATCAAATGTCACAATAATTAGCTTTATGATCCTTTCCACTATAATATATAGGATACTGTTTCTATTTTATATTTAAACGAGCTACAAAACGTAAATATATACTAATACAACATAAATTGTATAGCAAGCCTAATAATTCTCCGAAACAACTCGAAGCTCCGCTTAGTTTGTACAGTGTTTTAATTAAAATAATTTAAAATATAATCGCTTTAGGAGGGAGTTTGTAACAAGGGAAGTTGCGAAATTTCTGGAACGGGGTACAAGACAAAATAATAAAATATTAATAAAGGCCCGGAGACGTTGGAAAAGTTTCATCGGCTGCAAATATTTGTGTTTCAAATGAGCGGAGCTCGTGATATGAGCCGGCTGCTTCGGACTAAACCTTGCTGCTCGGCAATTATTCCATTAATGTTGTAATCGCGAATAGTTTTTGCGCTCGAGGAAGTTTAAAATAAAACACTTTCGACGGTTTGAAACGCGTAATATATTTCTTAAGTTATTTTCAACTAAGACGCGACGTTAAGGATGCTTTGCAGTCGTGCTTAGGAGGAGAGACATGTTTTTTTTTATATTTACAACACATGAATACGGCTTCTGCAAAGCATCCGAAACGTAGAGCCGTAGTTAAAATAAGTTAACTAATAGATTTCGCGTTTTAAGCCATTTAAAGTATTGTTTTTAATGGCATATACCTAAATGACTTTTAAAGGTACATTTATGAAACAAAAAAAACTCTAATTTTACATTTACTCTAACAGTTCCCAATCAAGAGTTAGAACAAACGAAAAGAGTTGGCAAAGAACTCGCCGGCAATCGCCAAGTTAAATTTCTAAAAAAAATTCTAAAAGGCAGGTTCCTCCAAACCCTAAGTACTGTTATCTTTTAAATGTTGATTTACGTTATATTTACCTGCTGCTCTACACTGGGCATTAAAAAAATGTTATTAGTTTCAAGCAAATTTGTTTTCTCAAAAATTTAAAATTTAAAAATTAGTAACATGTTGGACCTAGTGGGACCTCCCGTACCAGAATACTAGGTCGGACGTAATAGCTAATAGATTTAAAGTCCTTTAAAATTAATTTAGTTTCAGCCAGCATTACAAAGGTCATACAACGGATGGAGACAAATCTATTTGCCAATACAAAGCTATTTACTTGATATAGGCTCACGCTTGACCGTCTATCGTATTGAAGTTGAGCGGTGCGCGTGTAATTGAAAGCAAACACGCATTGTTGTGGGCCTGACTCGCCCGGATCAATCAGTTCGGACCCTATACTATTGCGGAATTAGGGGTGACAGCCCTGGACGGTATTTTTATCTGCGGTTCCGTCGTACTATTTCTTAGTACACGAATTATAATGGAGAAAATAATCGATTTGCGAAGTTACGAACAACTTCCTACAAATTCATCTTTGTAATATGGCTTTAGTTTTAATCAACACCAATAAAAATAATTATTTTCTAGACCCCAAAATTAAAGATACAAAATTAATAGCTTTAGTTAAGATGACGCCAAGATTAGTCAAGACGTTGCCTGAATCTTATAATGTTCTTGAAAAATTTACATCATTTTCTTAAAAATTATTTACAGTCAGAACACATTTGAACTCATTATTTCATAAAACATATATGAATGACAAAATACATCAATCTAACCAAAACCTTTACATCTGTGTGAAAACTATTCCTAGACTAAATTCGCCATAAATTGGATTTTACTATTTTAAGCACCCTTTAGACTTCACTTGAGAGAAAAGAACGAATGACATATTTGCGTGAGTTACTACACAATACTAAAATATACAAAATACAGGAAATATATAGAGATATTGTATCGCGAATTAAAGTTGCACAAAATGCGAACACCTCTAGGTGTCTCCTAATGTGTTAAGTAATACATTGAGGGAAATACATTTTACGACACTTATTATAATTACAGCAATCCAAAATAAAACAAAGTGAGCAATCGTTTCCTATAACCCTCATTTGCGATTCGGAGTTTCCGATGAAATTAGTGATGGTAGGTGTGGTCGTTGAGATGGCGCGTGGCGCGAGCGTGGCGCAAACAGCGACTCGTGCGCACGCAACACGCCACAATATTAAAAGGAATATGCTAAAGTATACGTGACACATTGTTGCCAGTGTCAGATTTGAAACACTTAACGTCACTGGTGGAACTGCAAGTTCTGTGCGTGTGAAGTTGTCCCACAGCTGGGATTCAAAACTTGCCAGATGCAAATGGTGATGTGTCTGGCGACTGCTATAAATGTATAATTCTTTTTATCAAGACGCACATCGAAAGACAAATTAACAAAAGAAACAGTACGGGCAAATGGTGATGTGTCTGGCAACTGCTATAAATGTATAATTCTTTTTATCAAGACGGAACGAATAACGAATGACCAAGCCGCAAAATGTAATCAGCTAGGCTATGAATTTCCACCTGTGAAAAAAAGACTTTGATTTACAAAATACATTTATACAAAGAAGTCGGGTGCACCACTAGACCGACACGGCTCTCAATAGCATGTAATATGAAAAATTGGAATATGGTATTTCTTTTAAAAAGACATCTAAAAGATTACATATTTAATTTGACTTACAGATCATTTAAACGCAACTCCCGCCCCCAGATAAAAAAAATGATGTGAAGCTTAAACAAGCAATATCAGTTTGCGAATTTGAATGTCCAAAGCCAAATTACAGCATATCTCGCTTTGATTTTATATAAGGTACTTCAACATATGCTTGTCTGTCGTCTTTTGTCATAAAATATCATAATTGCAGTTAAAATTTAACGTTGTGTAATGTTCTGTAGGTACATGCCACCGCGGGGAGCGTCTCTTTCCATTCCATCTGTATATAGAGATATATATCTCCTACTTAAGACTTAAGTATAAGGCGCTATATAAGTATGTATAACATGATGGTGCAGGCGAATGAAAACCTTAAGTATTCGCAATTTCTTGGCAAGTTTAGGGTTCCCTAGAAGGGGATTTAATCCCGCTGCGGTGCGGGTAGGCACGGGCCCGCTATCGCTGGGAAACAGGCGCATCTTTACGGCTATATTACGATATAGTAGGTATGTACTCAACCGATGCCGTTTTACACGCATGAATGAGAATTTGGGAAGTTTTGTATTCCATTTTCAAAAATAAAACACATATACTTTGAAAATTTACATAATGGCGTTACATAAATCCAACGCCCGTGTCCTAGTCGTTAGTTGGGACACTAACTAACTAGGACACGGTCACTCAAATAGCCTAGTAGCAGCACGGAACGCTGTGGATGCCGGTTCCTATCCCACCCGTGTTCTTTCAATCTAAATTATTTATTTATATATATAGCACATTTATATATTATAGAGCACTGTTTCATAGTACTCGATTATAATAGTTCCTGTTGTCAATGTTATAATGGAACCAAACCGTGATCAATATTTTTGTCACATTACAGACGCAGGATGTTTTTTTTATATTTCAAAATAGATTAATGATTCAAAAAGTAGTTTGTAGTTAATAGTTGCATGTACACTTCAAATTATTTGATGATTTTTCACAATAAGCGTGTATTTAAAAAGAATAAAGTATATTATATTTTAATAAGATACTAAAGAAATATTTTGTCGTTCAAAATTTCTAAACGCTAAAGCGGAAAATTACAGTAAGACAATGAAAAATTTGCACAAAAATAAAATTACGACGAAAAATATTTCTTCAAAGCAAAAGACAGTCCGTAAAATGTAAACAGCGTTGTTTAATTATGACCCGTTTATTTTTTATTATTATCTCCGTCGAATGAAACACCAAAGGTTAATAAGAGTAAAAATGTTTTTAATTAAACGCTAAGTACATAGACCGCTTATAAAGGAGCTACTTATGCGACAGTTAGGATAGCGTTTCATTACGTCGGGTCTTGTTTTATTACCGAAATTAACCCGTTTTTACTGTTTTCGGTGATACATAAATAATTTTGGGGGTCTTCTGAACTTTTGCTAAATAGGCGATGTTCTTATCACCTAATGGAAGACCAGATATTCCAGACTGACAAAGATATATCCTTTCCACGTCGATTTATTTCTTTAATTCAATTTCTCGTGCCTCGATATCTGACGTAATTTGGGTAAAATAAAATATTTAAAAATTTATTTTGTTTTGAGACCTATTTACTTAGTAATACTTTTGTCAGTTGCCACAAGTAGAATTCGTGCTTTTTACGATGATTATAATCTTCATTTACAAGATGTTTCAACATGTGACGTCGTCGATTTTTTTTAATTAAAAATTTGGCTGTTTTTCAAGGAGTTCTCATTCGACAGAGACGTACACAGAGATAAATATTTTGTTGCACCAACAATCAAACTTCCAATCTTCCCGCGTAAATCGGTTGGTCATTGAGAGTCTGCTAGTGTGTATTCGTATTGCTAATAATCACAGGGTTTGGGTTCGAATCCCACCGGGATCACTATGTTTCTAATCAATTTTTAAATTTTCTGAAGCATGTTGGGCGTCGACTGGAAATCTGGATATTAATTGTATGGTAGCAATAAAATAATCTTTCCGCGTTGCGAACCACAGATAAAAAACCCGTTAATCGCATTTCCGCTTCAGTCTGTAGATTGCCGAATATCCGAAGCCAACATTGTTCGAAAGGATGTTTTGTCTTAGATGTTATATGGGTATTTCACATTCCATCAAGTGCAGTTTCATGTTTGTCTGTCTTCTTTTATCACGTCTCATCAGCATGTGAACAAAGAGAAACCAATAAATTTTAAAGTGCGCTACAATTATCGTGTAACTGTGATGTATAACAAATGTTAACGTGTAAATTCTACACGAAATCCACCCACCCATTAAATTTAAAATCTAGCATTAGTCCCAATAAGCCCAACACAACACGCATTCTCCACAATTGCTCACATTAAGCTTTTAAAACTGCACCAGGCTCCCCAGAGCAGAACGACAACTATCAGTACATCGGTCTCTTCACTTACGACCTTTCGCGATTCGAAACTGATAGTTGCAATTCCCCTAAAGTAAATCTTTATTAAGGGACATTTTATGTGCGTCCGTTGATTTGTACAGATTCGTCGCATGGGATTTCGTGAGATTTATGGTGATAACGGTCGGAGTGATTATGGCCTTATTAATTTATTGGTGTCAAATTAGCACGTTTCGATGTTGGGCAGGTAATAAAAGTATCTGTTTCTATGGCTAATATTCTCAACACAGACATTCTTGGCTTGGTACTTGTGGCCAAGTTTTGTTAGCGACCGTAAGGTTAAGAATCTTGAATTAGTTCACTTTTTCTTACTGTTCAAACAATATGATTAAGTAAACACTTTTTTTCTATAAAGAAGAATACGGTCTTCCAATAACAAAGGTAATACTAATTGTTTAATTATATATGTAAAAATAACAATTAAATGATGCAATAAATTTATCGATGATTAAACATAGCATAGCTTCTTATTTATTTATTACATTGTTATACCATGTTTGTCCTGTTTTTACATTATTTTTAGCTAAAACCAAATTAAAAATTTACTTACATTGAAATATATTGACACGGGCATTACCCGTTGATTTTTAATTCATAAAATGCCATCATGTGCAATAACAAGTGAAAAGTAATAAAGTTTTCAATCTTTAACTAATTCTATAATATCGTTATATTCACAAAGAAATAAACTCGCGAACGACATATAGAAAGAATAGTTCGGGGGCGGAGTATTTACCCTGCATGGTCCAAAAGTTTGCGTGGGGCGTTATCTTAATGAGATGCGGTGTAAATAAAATATTCCTCTGAGATCGCCCTCCCCCAACGTACCCAGTTCCATGGATGCGTTTTTTGATTTGATGTGGGTATTTGTTGTGTAAATACTGCTTATTTACTCCTTCGGGATAGTGAAAGATAATTGAAGGAAAGTTCATTGAATTGTGAAAAGTACTTCAATGGGGAGATTCGGTATTTCATTTGAGACGTCAATTCTTACGTTTTAAATCTCGGAGACCAGAATATAACGAAATAATTTAATAATAATAAACAATTTTAATATTTAAATAAAACACTTTAACGGTTTAAAACGCGATATATTAGTTAAACTTATTTGAAAATGATTTTTAACTTCGGCCCGACGTTTCGGATGCTTTGCAGCAGCCGTGGTCACGGGGAGAGTCTCCTGTACTACTCGCGTTAACTATAGACAGTATTTAATTTTAATATTTGTCACATGTTATTGCACATGTGGCACTATATGAATGGAAAATCGATTGAAACTTGAAAAAATGTACGACTCGGGCAGGACTTGAAGCGGCATCCTTAGTATTCCGTGCGGTTGCCATACCCGTTCAGCTCCTAGGCCTCGGTAGCTCAATTGAACGCCGGTTCAAGTCCTGCCCTAGTCGTAAATGTTTCCAATTTATAACCGATTTTTAATTCAAATAATAACGCTGATTAGAATTTAGATTAAAATTATAATCGATTGATGTTTCTTGATTCCTATAGAAAACATGACACTCAAATAATTTATAAGCTCTAACATAATCTACTAATTTAATAAAAAAGTATGTAATTTCAATTATTTTAGGATTCGAACCTAGGATCTCTAGCATTTAACGCTATGCTATATAACCATCATGCCATCGGTGGTTTTACATATACCTAATTTAGCCACATTGGATCGGTCGCACTTTTCCTATAGTGACATAGTTAAACACGAATTGCAATAACAAAACAATTTTTGGACTTCCCAAATTAAATATAGATAACCACTGAGTCACAGTAGACATCTGCTTGATATCAAGTGTTTAGTAATTTGTGGATTGTTTAAACAGGTGTTGTACCCAATACCGAGGAAGGCCACAATACTCCTGCCTTGGGGTTTAATTGTGTCTCGTTTGTGACATATGTGTAAAAAATGTAAATGGTATTTTACCGTATAAAACATTCAATTAATGGGAGTCTTTGCTCTTATTTATCGTCGTCACCGTCGTCGATCACCACTGCTTCTTGCCAGCATGTCAATGTCGATCGATATTATTTACCGACCGACAATCAGACAGGCTAAAGGCTAGTTTGAAACATTCATTATTTTTCACATGTTTCACACTATGGCAGTATATAAATAAAAATTGATTTTAGAAAGAGATACGAAACGGACAGGTCTTGAACCAGCATCCGTTCCGTGCTGCTTCTCTAACAAGGGACAAGACATGGAAGCTCAATTGGTTATGGCTTGGCTCAGTTGAAATTTTTTGATAAAGTTTTTTTTTTAGTAGTATGTAGGTTTCACATAGGCATGTACAAATACAAATATTCTTCATTGTCACAAAACAAAACAATACAAAATAAAAATAAAAGGAATTTAAGGACGAACGCGACTTTATACCGTATATAACCGTGGTGGAAATAAAAGTTCCGTAAAAGAGGAATGCGTGACAGCACAAAAGGAACATAACCTACTTACTTAAACCTTACCTACTTAGTTTTACCTAAAATTCATCAATTTCTAACTTAACTAAGTTACTTAATTAGACCTAAATAGTATGTAAGTATTTAGAGGTCATAATTTGAGTTCGGATTCACGTAGCAAGACATAAATTCACGTAGAGACGAATAGAAAGCGCAGAACTAAATATCGAGAAGTGCATATTTGCTCGTGATCCAATTATGCGTGCACGCGGCAATAACGAGCAAACAACAACGCGAGCGACATCTAGCAGCCAACTAGAAACATAACTGTATCTAACATACCAAAATATAACACGCTAACGCCTAGCAGCGTTTATCGTCCGCGTTGAATAGTTATTTAGAGTCACTCGCGTCCCGTCGTTTTTGCAAATTAAATATAATTGTCGCAAATGTTGTTCTAGACCATTTAGAGAGGTTCATCTTAACCGTTTCTGCAGCGTACGCAAAGGATACCCACAAAGGTAAATAATTTTTCTTCACAATTCCCGCTTTTTCTCTGTCTAACGGTTCAAGATACTTAACAATATATACGAAGAAATGATTCCTGTTTAAATTATCTAAAAATATCCGCGACACTAT